GCGCCTACGACCAGCCGCCAGCCGGGCAGCAGGCAAAACCCTGGCGGACCCGTTCAATTCTTCGGGTAAGACAGGCAAGAACCCGCAAGTGCAAGCACCCCTGCCCTCTTGGAAGCCCGGCCGCAGGAGCCTCGGCCGGCGAAGGCGATCGCCGAGGGGCCGAGCGCGGAGCTGGAGGCGGAGAGGGCGGCGGAGGGAACGGAGTCGCAGAGGCTTCAGGCGGACCAGCATCTGACGACCGTGAAGCTGAGGCTGCTCATCAGGGCACAGGACGGAGTCACCCGCCTCCCTCTGCCCCCCCCCCCACCCTTCCCTCCTCTGTGCGCCCCTCCTCCCCCCGCACCTCACCTCTCCCCCCCCTCCCATCTGCACGCCCTCCCCGCCACCCCTGCGGGATCTTGACTCCGGGGTGCCACGCGACTGACTCACACCCCCAGGGGCGCGAAGATCGTCGCGCCTCGCGCTTCGCGGTGTGGGGATGGACGGCCTCTGGTCTCCAGGGTGTTCGGCGCGAGGGCGCGAAGGCAGCCGTGCCTCGTGCCCTGCGCGGCGCGGAGCCCGACGTCCGGCTATGCCCTAGGCACCACCCGCCTCCCAGCTCCGTTGCCGGCCCGCTGCCCTCGCCGCGCTCCCGGCGGAGCTGGCAGGCCCGAGCCCCGAGGCCGTGCGGCTCGATATGGAGCCCGATGTTCTCCGCGCCGACGTAGCCGATGCATCGCCGATGTCGCGGATGCATCGCCGGTGCAGCGGCGATGCATTGGCGATGCATTGGCGATGCGGCGCGATCCTCCGGCTCTATCTACTGGGACCCCTTAGAGGGAGACCTCTACCTGCTGCCGCTGCCTCAGTCGAGGGAGCGCAGACACGAATCAGGCCGCGTGGGTGTGCGACGGGTCCCGCTTCCATGCAGAATCGGCGCGCTTCGTCACCAATCTGGGCGGTAATGGAGTACCTCAGTTCTTCTTTGGGCTGTTGTCTTCTATTCTCCAGTTACACTATCTACATATATGTGGGATTACATTACATACATACGTAATTGCATGTGTTGCGTATCATAAGTGGGGACCGCCACACAACGGTCGCCGCAGCTCTTCGAGTTGCGTGGTGTCCTCACACGCCTACGGATTGGGGACACAGCTTGGCTCCGGTCCCCGCCGGCACGGCGAGGGCGGAAAGCAGCCGGGAAGATAGCACAGTGGGAACGGCAAAATCGGAAGTTGTGGCAACAGATTATGGGCGGCGCCAAGCCGGACGACGACCGAGAAGCCATCGAGCAAACTACCAAAGCGCTCGGCAAGGCCATCCAAGGGTGCAAGAACGAGCGTGTCAAATGCTGGCGGAAGAGGCTCCAGGCAGATGGTCTTGGGAAGACCACAGCAGCTTGGATCCGGAACGCAGTGAGCACCTACCACAACGTAGCGGTGCAGGACGACACCAAGAGCGACCATGACAGCGGGAACTTACAACTACACGACGACTCCACGCCCGCCAACTACTTTTCACAAGACGCGGTGGAAAGAATACGAGACCACTATGAGCAGCACTTCGCGGAATGCGACCGTGGCAACGATGTGGACGGGTATTTCTACCACTATGACGACTACATTGAGGAGGCACGCCAAGATGTTCAACGAGCACAGGAGCAGCACGACCATAGAGCACGACGCGCCATGGCAGCCCTTGGCTGCTGGGACCACTGGGCGCCACCGGCGGCAGCATAATTCCGCCACATGCTACACGGAGGCACAGCAGCAGGGCCAGACCAATGGGCGCCTTCGGAGCTCATGCCCCTCCCGGAGGAGGCACTGGAAGAGCTGGTTGACCTCTGCACATAGTCTGAGTACCACGGATGGCCGTCGCAACACCTGCAGTGGCGCCAGGTCCACCTACCCAATGTCCCAGACACAGCACTCCCAAGCCTGACCCGACTACGCCCTATCGCAATCGCGAGCGCCGTGGTCCGCGCTTGGCACAGATGGAGGGCAGACCAACTGGCCACCTACCTCAGCCCAGCTTTCCTGCCCACGCAGGGGGGCGGTCTCAAAGGGCGAACCCTCGAATCCCTCATCGAGCCATGCCTCTCGCTCATTGAGGAGACAATCGCGGCGAACAGGTACGACGACGAGGACGGCTCGCTGACCGAGGAGGAGCAGCGGCTGCTTCGGGAGCGTCAAACGGAGCTGCACGTCAAGTCGTGGGATTATGCCTCCGCGTTCGACAGGGCTTCCCCCCGGGTCGTCTGCGAGGGCTGGTCGCGACTCGGAGTACCGTCCAGAATCACCAACAGTATCGAAGCGATCTGGACCTCTTAACACCACGGACAATTCTGGTTGAAGACAGTCTGCCACAAGGGAATTCTAGTTGAAGACAGTCTGCCACCCTGCTCATGGGGCCACTACGACGGCAAGCTGCTCTGCACCCGCGAGCAATCTTTTGCACCTTCGCGGACGACCGCACGGCGGCCACGACAGAGGCCCAAAAACTACGGAGCATCGAGGAGGAGTGGGAGCTGCTGGAGTCGGTCACCGCGCTGCGCACCAACGACAGCAAGGCGCAGTCCTTCACGATGCTACCGCACCAGTGCGACAACCACCACCTGCAGAGCAAGAAGACGAAATGCCTCGGAATCGACTTCACGATGCAACGCGCGGCGCTCGCGACCAGAGAGCGAGGCAAGCTTGAAGAGGCACTTGCCCGCATGGAGCGGATTGCGTGCCTGCCCCTGAGCATGCGGCTGCGCGCGACCGCGGTGAGCACCATCGCGCTGCCGGTGTCGAGCTGGGCACTAGTGGTGACGCCACCGACAAAAGGAGCTATCCAGGACCATCTACGACAAGCACGAATGGCTGTGACCCTGCGGAAATGGCCCCGGGCAGCTCCCGAACTACTTCGACTGGTAGTAATGGGGCATAGCACCGACCTGCGGTACCACTTGTGCCGGCGAGCGCTACAACTTCTGAACAGCAGACTACGTCGACAGGGGCCTGGGGCACTTGCGCTTTGGGACAAGATCACGATCAAGACCGACACGCGGGGGCCACTCCACGCCTACCGAGCACGCTTGGCATCGCTTGGAGCAGAGCGCAGCGACGACGGCCTCTGGAGAGGCCCGGCGGGAGAGCTTCGACTTACCGACAGAACAGACCGACAGCTCCACGAGCTACGACTCATACTCCGATTCCACGAATGGGCAATCCTACAGGTCCGGAACCGGCGGGAGAGCCCCATGGCGGCCGGAGTGCCCTTCCCAGCTGCTGCCGTGCGCGCGGCACAAGAAGCACGGAAAGCTAACCGAACCCTCGCCTCACACATCGCCGCCGTCCTCTGCGGCTGCGTGGTCTCGGACGCCCTGCTGCAGTCCAACCAAGGCGAGGAGGTCTCGACCACCTGCGACCACTGCGGTGAGCAGCACGTCCCGACACTCGACCACATGTTCTGGGTGTGCACAGCCAACGCCGACCTCCGGCAGGGTATCGCGGTACCAACGGCTGACCTCACCCGCCGGTTGGGCTGGCCGACAGAGGACCTCACCAGGAGGACCACGACCACTTGGACAAAAATGGTGTTGGCTCTGGCAAGCATGCGGCAGCGTGCGCTGGACCACCGACACAAGAAACCACAGGCACCCAATTCCTCCGACCATGGTTTATAACCGTTCTCAATGGTTATTATTTGGATCGCGTGTGTCATCAATTTGTTTATGTTGTATTTCAGTTATTCTTTGGGCTGGTGTCTTCTATTCTCCAGTTACACTATCTACATATATGTGGGATTACATTACATACATACGTAATTGCATGTGTTGCGTATCATGAGTGGGGACCGCCACGCAACGGTCGCCGCAGCTCTTCGAGCTGCGCGGTGTCCTCACACGCCTACGGATTGGGGACGCAGATTGGTTATACCCCCCTCGTGTTTCAAGAGGACCTTGCCCGATCCGTGTATTCCTCTGGCTTCGCGGGGTGCACGTCCAGAATGTGTAGAGAGAGAGAGAGAGAGAGAGAGAGAGAGAGAGAGAGAGAGAGAGAGAGAGAGAGAGAGAGAGAGAGAGAGAGAAAAACAAAATAGTGTGTGTGTGTGTGTGAGAGTGTGCGCGGGTGTGTGTATGTGTGTGTGTATGTGTGTGTGTGTGTGTGTGTGTGTGCGTGTGTGTTTGGGCCCTCCTAGGAGCCTTTCAGAAGTTTCTTGGGGCCTGTCTGGGGTATCTTGCGGCTGTCTAGGGGCTCGCTGGGCGCCCGTTGGGGCCTTTTGGGGGCGCCTGGGGCCGTCTTCGGGCGCTGTTGGGCCGTCTGGTGCCTTCGGGGGCCGCCTTGGGGGCCTCTCTGGACCGTCATGGTGCCCCTTGGGGTCTCCAGGAGCCGTCTTGGCGGTCTCTTGGGCCGTCTTGAGGCCCACTTGGGCCGTCGGAGGGCCGTTTGGGCCCCCCCTTGGGCCACCTTGAGGCCCTCCTGGGCCGTCCTGGGGACCTCTTGATGGCTTCTTGGGCTGTCTAATGTCTATCTTGGGTGCATTTGGGGCTGTCTTGGGGTGTCGGAAGCCGTACAACGCGAGAACGGTCAAATCGGTCAACAACCTATGGCAACCACTGTTTTTCGCCTCTGGAGGCCCACTTGAGAGTTCTCTTGCTGCTCTCTTCGGCCGTCTTGAAGGCCTTTTGGACCGTTTTGGGTCCTCCTCGGCCGTTTTGGGGTCATCTTGGGCTGTTCCGACACCCACCAGAGCCATCTCGAGGCACTCTTCTATTCTCAAGGAGCAAGGAGCCCTAGAAGTAATGGCCATTGTTTTTCTTAAGGTTCGTTTTATGCGTTTTTGAGCCCTCAGAAACGAGGTCCACCACCTTTGGTCCATGGATGGGGCGTGGCCCTGGTGGGGGTTTATGGGGGGTACATTATCCTCATAGGCTTGTCCTATATGAGTCCTAGCTTATCATAAGCAAGTGGTCTTTAGCACCCCCTCCGTTTTCCAATGGCACCCCCCTCCATTTCCAATGCCCCCCCCTCCCCTACCATTTTTCCACTGCCCCCCCCTTCTTTCCAATGAGCCCCCCAGCTATTTCCAATCTCGAGCCCTATGTATTCCTATGGGTTCCTATGGGTCGTATGTATTCCCATGCTTGCTTGCTCGTGCTTGCTTGCTTGCTTACACTTGCTTGCTTGCTTGCCTGCTTGCTCTTGCGTGCTTGCTCTTGCACACTCACTTGCACGTGCTTGATTGCTCTTGCGTGCTTGCCCGCGCCTGCTTGCTCTTGCTTGCCCTTGCTTGCTTGTTCT